AGATATTACTTGAATTTTTGAAAATTCTCAACAATTATATATTTTTAAAGATTAAAAGAAAAAAAGCGGATTCGCGTTAGTTTTGAATTTGGATTAAAAGTTATTGTGGCATACGTACAGATAAAGAGATGACCACTGAACAAAACAAAAAACAACTTCAATTCATTCTTCAAATCAATTGTCAATTAATCAAATATTTGAAAGACAATAGCTCTACCATAACTATCTACACCTCAAACCAAATTATTTTTGTACAGGTTCCTGCAAAATAAATGAACCTAAACTTTAAAAAGCTTTTGAGCTTTCCTAAAATCATGTATAACAGCAAAATTTCTTTTGCCTAGGATAGCCATTCGCATCTCGCTTGCTGTTAATTGTCAAAATAATCTAGTATTGAATGGTCACAATCAAATCAGTAAATTTAGTACTCGAAGCTGACGCTACAGTAATCCATCGTAACTCTACCCTAAAGCGCAAAAGTGTTGAATGGGCATTGTTATGGCTGAATTAATCATCCATACAATCGATGACCACAAGAGGCAAACCCATCGTAATTCCCTATAGGACGATTAGACGTAAATTAATGATTTATCCAATTATATAGATAAAGGAAAATTCAAGCCATCTCTTAATTATGGGCACCATGCCATACCTGTATATCCTTATACCCAAACAAATTCGAAGTCACGCAATGCAGATCAAGTCTAGCCAACGGAGCTCTAACAGACTATGTGGGGAAGAAGTTGAGAGCAGTCTTGGATCAAGAAATCCGCAATGATTCATAGTTTGTAAATTTTACTGATGGCCGAAAACATTTTGACACATTTGTGAACCCCAGCATTTTGGAATTTTCAGTGTTAACTTACTTCTTGCAACTAACAGTGATGCCGCATAGCCGGCACTTGATCTGCCCAGGTCCAGGAATCTCTGGCGGGGGTGATGTTGCTTTTGGTGGCGGCTGAAACTTCCCATGAACTCTAAATCTTCATAAGATAACAACGATAACCTACCCCAGTGATGATTCTAACATCTTTGGCTGGTTCCCCTTTTCCAAATAAAGTCGAGAGCACGGTATTAAAATGATCCATAGACGCCGGTGGTGGTGTTTCCGAATCCATCGAACCACCATGAGATGATGCAGCGCGATTCTCGTCCGGTAACGATAGGCATGGAATCGTATCCGAACTAAAACATCCCTTTCCATTAAAATAAGTGAGGTTTTAGATTACAAGCGCACCTAGCCGCTGCATTTTCACCATTTGTGCCAAAGATGGTAACCGCTTGTTGATTAGTGGATGTTTGTGAGGTAGACGGTGTTGTGAGCGGTGATGCAGTTTCTTGACGTAAGATACGTGGTGATGAGGTATCTCGAATTTCCGTCAAGAATTCAAACGGTGAGGTGACAAAAGAGATGTCACAGATGCCTTGGGACAGCTGAAATAAAAAAGTATACTATATTAACGCTTCCTCAACTACATTGCAAAATAGAAATTCTTATGTTTCGACTTTGAAAAATTAGCATATCATGAACAAAACTTCAAGATTAAGCGGGGAAATCTTCGGCCAAAAGTCCTCCCAACGTATCTTTTTTCGGGAAAAAATCCTAACTTTCAACCAAAAAGTCTGCTCAGCCCCGTTTTTCGAGTTGCCGCCACGGGCCTCTCACATTGCTTTCATTCATCTACTCGTATGCGTGTGTGTGTGCATGGGGTGTGAGTGAGGGTGAGGCGGAGGGCTTTTCCATAACCTTTGGCCAAGGGTATTGACTAAAGAGGAGGTCGCACCAGGCTTCAAATGTCCGCTGGCGACAGCTAGCAAACGTAGCTTAGCAAAATGTTGTGCACTATAAGGCTTTTTATAAACTTGTGACAGTTGTTCATTGGACATCTTAAAAAACATTCAACTTTAATTTGAAAAGGAATAACGGAACCACAACGTCACCTTCACTTCGCACTTCTCTAAATCCTACCTCTCTAAATGCCAATTTCGCCCGTTTCCGATGTCAAATTGACCTACTTCCGGGTTTCCCCGTTTTTACGAAGCCGCTTCATATAACGCAAGGCGACTTCTGCACGTACACAACACTATTTTAGGAAGAATACTTATAACGTACCGCAAATTGAAACAACGCCACACAATCTGTATCCGGTTGAAGTTTAAGCACTGCATAGCGTGGAGAATTACGTAGTGGGGTGCTCTAAATAAGTAGATGATAGTCTTTAACAAGGAAAATATTTGAAGAAAAGTTCTAAAAGCCCTAAGTAGGAAGGCAAAAAGGTTGCCTGTATTGTTGAAATGGAAAAACTTTGGTAA